GGTTAAATTGTATGGAGTTAAATTTAAGCAAATGTAAGCATATGTGCTTCTCCAGATCTTCTCTGATATTACAATATAATATTGACGGTCATTCATTATCTGTAATTAACTGTAGATTCATTTGTCGATCTAGGCCTCTTGATGGATCCAAAATTAAATTTTAATAGCCATGTAATAACAATGGTAAATAAAGCAAATGGTGTTTTAGGTTTTGTTAAACGGTGGGCCAAAGAATTTTCTGATCCATATATAACAAAACAGTTATTTACGTCTCTTGTTAGACCTACATATATTGGAATATGATTCTGTTGTATGGGATCCTCAATATGCAATATACTCAGATAAAATAGAATACGTGCAAAAACAATTTCTGCTATTTGCCTTACGAGGTTTACATTGGAATAGTGATTTTGTTTTGCCTTCTTATGCTAGCAGGCTAAAATTAATTTGGTTGTCTACACTTAAAAGCAGACGTATTATGTTGAACTCCATGTTTGTACTAAAAATATTAAATGGTAATATACCTTCAGATTTCCTAATCTCATCTATTAGAATTAATGTTCCGTTTAGATCTAGTAGATACTACCAATTATTATATACTGATTTTCACCGCACGAATTATTCAATGGGCGAACCTCTTAGTAAAATGTGTGTTGACTTTAATTATGTGTATTGTAATGTAGATTTTTGTATGAGTTTAGAAGTTATTAAATCTAGAATAATTTTATTTTTAAACCATTAACATACATGCTTTATTATTTGACAAACTAGCTGATGAATTAGATTCTGTAGCTGGTTTTCAATTTCCTACTGAATTCCCATTATTATGCGGATCATGATGTGTACGCGATCCCTCCGTAAAGGGAGGTCGCCCCCTCGGTCGGCAGGGGTGGGAATGTGAGGCGTGGGAACGTTCGAAAAAATAAAAAAAATAAGACTTTTTTTAAATGTAATAAAATGGAAATCAATTGTTGCATATTTGAGAATCTATTTGACTCCGGCACAGAGCTGAAAGATCGCTATTCGTTGCAATATATGGCTTGGGGACCCTCGTTGAAAAAAAAATCCCAAACATTTGAAATGCCCAACGCCATCAACAGAAATCACACATATCTTCGGAGCAGAATCATCGTCATGTTCATTAAAAATAATATCAATAAAATCAAAATAAATATTGCTCACAAGTGCCATCATCTTAACCGTCTGTTTATCGCCGTTCAACCAGCACTACAAAATAATCATTTACTTTTCTAACGCCAATGTCCGGAACATAATCCCCACAAGTGCCATCATCTTAACCGTCTGTTTATCGCCGTTCAACCAGCACTACTAAAAATCTCCTACCATTAAATTCCCTCCATTCGTTTCGCATCTACACATGCAGCTATCCCCCTATTTGCATCCATAAGCTTCTTTCTAAATATCATCTCCAGATTTAACACTGGGCAAAACAATTGCTACAAAAAAAAAGCATCCAAACTGGGAAATTTTTCAAGTCAACATCACAAATACAATAAAATGGACAAAGCATCACTTCTTAGGCAATAATCAATCAATGATGAGTCATGAGTCATCATGGAGCAAATAAATAACAAGCAAAATAGTTATCCCTGATCGGAGTTCATCAGATAAGGAGTGTCAATACGCAACAGCAATCACATGAAGATAATTGTGACGACATTGTATTTTTTAGTCGACGCTGATATTGTAACCATTTTATATTTGATATTTGGCCATGAAAATAACAACAGGAAAACAATTTGAAATGTTGGTTTCCGAATTAAAAAAAAAACATGTTTGGCAAAAAACATGTGAGGCATGTTTGGCAGGTAATTTTAAATCAGATTGCCATTGCTATAAAATTAGATACAAACGGGCCTCCGATTGGAGACTCCAATAGGTGGTTTTCTAAACTTCTTCTAGGTTTGGAAAGATTTAAAGTTAAAACATAATTGTAACATATGTTATAGTTCATGAAAATGAGCAAGTGGACAATGCTGATGACGAGACTGATGTAACTACTATTGAAGCTTCTTGATCGTCCAAAAAAAACAATGGTAAAGTCATCAAGAAAAGGAGAAACTATTAAACTCTAAAGAACAGTATAAACTTTTGAACAACACAATCGAGTGTCAGGCAATGCAAATATTTTTGTTTGCTGCCCTTAACGCACGCCGCTGCACTACTAATACAATTTCCTCTTCATCCTCAGTTGAACTTAAGACGCATTTTTATAATATTCATTTTTTTCACTATATTTTTTATTTTTCCGAAAGAGACGAACAAAATACAAAAAATTATCTTTTTTATCAATAACAAGCGTGTTGCCAACTTTTTTTAATTGTTACCAATTTTTATTTTAAATTGTCGATGTCTCTTCTATGCCTTACCGTAATACCATTTTTGCTCACTTGCACATAAAGTCGACGACGACTATAGGAGGGACAACCGTAATAGGGCCGAATAATAAAAAAAAAAACAATTAGATTAACAATTCCAAAATACACAAATAAATCAAAGAAATGCAAAAAAGAAAAATTAAAAACATTCTTTGCTCTAGAAATATTTTCTACCCAAATCCGGAATTCTCTTTTGGTCTTGTAATAAAGATAACTAGAGTCTGGGCAAAATATTATATTTAAAGTGTAAAAGTCAAAGGTCTGAGTTGCGGAATGATACAAACAATATTACGATATTATATAGCCCAAATCTTTAGCAATAGACTTAATCCATTTACCAAACGAAGATAAAACAAGTAAAAAACATTAAGTTCGGCCGGGCCAAACTTTTAATAGCCTCCACCTTAGAGTAAAGGAAACATTAGAAGAAATGTGGCAAAAACCATTAAAATGCCGAATATCGGGAGGTGCTGTTATATGGGGGCTATACCAAATCGTGGACCTACACATGCAATGTTTCGCCAAAGGAGCTAGAACCCATTATGACCCAGAAATATTAATTTTCAGACAAATCCGTGAAAAAATGTGGCAAAAATAATCAAAATACCGAATATCGGGAGATACCATTTTCTGAGGGCTATAACAAAACGTGGTCCTATAATTTCAATGACTAGCCGCACGAACTGAGACCCATTATGATCTACAACTACCAATTTTCAGAGAAATTCGTGAAAAAAGTGTAAAAAATCACCAAAATACCGAATATTGGGAGGTACCGTTATATGGGGACTATACCAAAACGTGGACCTATACATACAATGTTTCGCCACACGAACTAGGACCCATTATGACAAATACCAATTTTTAGACAAATCAGTGAAAAAATATGGCAAAAACCATCAAAATACCGAATATCGGGAGGTACCGTTATATGGGGACTATACCAGAACGTGTACCGATATATCTCATTTTCAATACCAACCATCCTAGACACAATACAAATTGCTCTGCTAAATATTGGCGCTCTACGTCAAATAATGTGGGCAGACAGAAGGACATCGTTAAATCGACTTAGAATTTTATGCTGATTATGAATATATATACTTTATGGGGGCTACGACGAATATTTAAGGATGTTACAAACGGAATGACAAAGTTAATATTCCCTCCTTTCCAAGGTGGAGGGTATAACTAGGCACTGTCTAGAATAACGATTCTCATGTATTTTATTGCCATTATTTTTATCTATTTTAGCTGAAATATTAATAATGTTTGCATAATTGATCTCTGTTACATCCAAGTTCCTATCACTGTCTTGTCCACAAGAGCTTTGGTTGATTAAATATTAATGTCATATTAAATAAAAGTAGCGTAACACCTATGCAAGAGTATAATCAAGTCAGATATCAAGTGATGAATCCTATTTACAGATTAGCCATTGAATATTTTCTCAAAATTCTTTCTTTATTTGAGAGCACAATTAATTGATTTATTTCATTTGAAGCGTCAATTATCTTTCGCCTTATTTTTGAAGGCATTCCACATATAAGAGTCCAACGGTGTCAAATCGCAGCTCAGTGGTGGCTAATGTGATAAAAAAACAGGGTGCAAAACATCGAGTGTAGCTTCGACTGTGTGGCACGTAGCGCCGCCCTGTTAAAACCAAGCGTTGCCTCCTCTCCAAGCGTTGCCTCCTCCTCTTTAATTTTTGTGAACCCAACATGGCCCGATATCGTAACAGCCGCTCCTTGTTCATGTTCGAAGAAAAATGGCAATATTATACCTTTGAAGTGCGGGTTTTCTGATACGTAAATGACGCAATTTTGCTTATTTTAATACGAATCTAACGTCGCTTTCCTTCTTCCAAAATCCGTATGTAATTTTACAATGATTTTCAAAGTTATGTCGCAATACTTTCAACGTTGCTCAATCGTATACCAACAATATTCGTTCAGTGGAGAAATTAAACTGATTATTTCGCAAAATGTGCTATGTTACCATTAAGTTTTTAAGTTTTCGTCCAGAAAAGATTACGTAGCCTATTAATTCTCGCTCCAACAATTTGTTTATAGAAAAGCTTTCGGCTTTGCCCACCAGTTTCCAAGTGTTAACGCCATCTTGAATTCGAAGTTGCAATACGTATTATTTTTATAAAACATTGCTGAAATATTGTCGAGGAAAACACCCCATTTTAATTTTATTTCATACAAAAATTCAATAGTACATATTCAGTTATTGTCGGATCTGTAACATCCAAGTTAACAAAAATAAAAATATTTAAAACTATTAATCCATAATTTCTAAGCAAAACTGATTTCGATTTTCCGAAAACGTTTTCAACTGAAAAAAAGAACCAATTCAAATCTTTTGTTTAAAGTTAAAAAAACAGTTCCCGGTTAATTTTCGATTGACTGATGCAATTATCATAATTAAATTAAGTATTTGTTAATTAACTTTTATAGACCAATTGTAAGAAAAGTAAGTTATATATATGTGAGTTCGAGTGGGAATTATTTAACCAAAGTCCATTTAAAATGCAATTGGCTTGATCTCACCCGTACATAACATATTTAACATATGAACAAAATTGGTAATGCGTAAATTAAAAGATTCCTCTTTCTGGTGATTATTTTTGTACTTCATGTTGGAAAATGTAGTCCGCCACTAGTTCAGCTTCTTGTCGACGATTTCTATCAAGTTTTGGTTTCATAAATACTCGATAGCTTACGGATAAAATCAATGTAGAAAATATTCCGATAGCCATCATTCCAGTCGAAGATGTGGAGAATTGTTTCAAATTGTTAATGATACTCATCTGAAAGAAAACAAGCAAACAAAAAGCAAAATCAATTACATTATTCACATTGGAGTAACACAAACATTGAACATGAGGTACTAGCTATTGGCACTAACTTTGGTGATACTTCTTGGTCGTTCGATGCACTATCCTTATTTCCTTCCTCTTTTTTCCACTTCAAAATTAATGGCTTCCAAATGTAAACACCTCCCAGAAATCCAATGGCAGTAACTACCATCAATTGTTGTGTTGTAATACCGCGAGGACGACGTATTTGCATGATACCCTTCTTTAAGTTTGTTAAATAACATCAAAACAAGAGTTGTCCAATGTAAGAAGTGACATATGTTATTAAACACACCGCTGGCCCAACACACAATGACAACGCTAACCGCCGACGGCGTGCGTTGATTGTATTTGTTGTGCGGGGCACACAGGGGCAACAAAGCATTTGGCACACTTTTTTATTATTAATTCAACAACACTATATAGAACGTAACGAAACCCCATGGTTTTATTATAATTTTATTACCGGAAAAATATAATTGTCAATGAATTCAGTGGCTCTCTTTGTATTGAATGTAAATTTAGCAAAATTAAAAAGAGAAAAAAAAAATAAATTTCCACATGAAACTCGCTCTCAAAGGCAAGGTATACTTGATTTGTGGTCTTAAAGTAAGAATACATAAACCGCTTTTTTGACTGGCTTAAGTCAAAGTCAACGGTTGGCTCTTCGTAGAGGAACAAATGAGTTTTAGGTTGACATAGTTCGATTTTGACCCCACACTTTTTGTTATTTTCCGGAGAGCTAGCCGTTGACTTAAGCCAGTCAATTATGGCCCGTTCTTATATCTTATATCTTTTGTTATCCCTTACTTTAAGAAAAGTGAAGGATAAAGTTCACATTATTGGATTCTCATTATTACATCTTTCCTTTAAAGTATATGCATTTCTTACAGAGATATGGCAAGCTTTTTGTAAAAGTAACTGGTAGTCACAGCTTTTTTTCACAATTTGTAATTAATTTCGTGAAATAAATTTATAATTCAGTTCTTCAATACAAAATAAATGATTTGCGTTATCCATTTCTTTATTTAAATATATTTTGTTGTTATTGTCATATTATCAATATAAAATATGGCAACATGAATCCAGTAAACTTTATGTTAAATAATAAAGGGAAGATGGTCTGGCCTTTTGCTTATCGGACAGTTTTTATTTAAATGAAACTTGTAATAACGAAAACGATTATTTGTCCGACAACATCACTTTTTTATCTATCGGAAAGATGTAATAACTGGCCTATGTATTGTATTGTAACCTTTAGTTATTGGAGTCGATGCTGGTACGTTTCATTGAAGATTTTTCTGGTGTCATTATTATTACTTTCTACCAACTTCCATACGGGTTTTATTTCAAGTTGTTGTACAGCAGTACTTGCTGTTAGCTGATGTTCTTATATCATGACAAAAATCATTGATTTGTGTATGTTAACTAAAAAGTCTGCATAAAACCACACATTTAAGTAGATATTCATTTTCTATTGAAAATTTCAGATTTGACAGAAACGTGGTTGAAACTTTCCAATGCGGAATACTAATACAATGTACCGTTATATAGTAGAGGTTGTACCATTATACAAATGTATGCTACCTGTAAAAATTACAATAATTACACCATGAGGTAATTTTAAAGTAAAAAAAAAACGTGGAAAAAGCAACATCCTTTCCACATTGTAACCAAACTAACTGCATATATTCATAAAGTATTCTACGTTTTGCAATTTTAGGAAACTTGAAATATATGACTATATTACCTAATGTGTTGTCGCTGTTCCTTAACCGCGAAAAAAGTTTCCACGCCATCGCCGTTAACGTTTTGTTAAGTATAACAGCGAATTTTTATATTATTGAACATGTTTACATTGCCCTGCAGTGAAATTTTACATCAAAGTGTATACGTGTATATCCAGAAATGGAATTAAATCACAAAACGTCATATCGAGTTTGACACTGATATTACTATAGATTCAAAATCAACTGGGATTTGCTGCTACCTATAATAATTATACCATGATGAATAAAAAAGTGATAATAAATGAGTTCCAATATAAAAAAGGGTTATCATTAGCGATTTGGCAAATGTGATTACCCCTTTCATTCTGCCATGGTTAAGAGTATGAACAAATTGCACCAAATTTCAAAGAGTGCCAAAATAAGAAAAGGACACGAGAAAAGCAAAGCGGGGAAAATATTGTCGTTTCAGTGACACAACGTTTACGCCCAAGTTTCAGGTAATATATAGTCGCATCAAAACAGCTGGCTAAATATTTTAGTAAAACATATTGTAATTTAAAATATTAATATTAAAAAGAAATTTAATGAATGTTTCTGAATGGAATTTGCCTATATAAAAGCATGTATTTGTAGCATTTACAGAAATTTAATGATACCAACCCATTTTTATTGAGTTTACCTTGTTAAATTGCCTTGGACACGCCGTTACTGTCACTGGTGATAATAGTTGCCACAATTTCAAAAATGTTCATAGAAATTTAAAACCTCTAACTACTACTCATTGTTGTAGCAATTTACACAAAGTAAATAGTTACTCTTTCGTCACAAATTAATCGGCAAATATGTTGTTATTCTAACTACAAATTTTGAGTGCCATGTACTTGTCAAAATAATTAAGTTTGTTTTAAATTTAGAGAGCTTATTGTTTTATCGTAAGTTTTATTTTGGGGGCCTTATTGACATTTTATTTAAATCCTACTATGGCGAGATTTTGCCATACATTATACAATACTTAGCTACTTAAAGTATTGTTTGGTATTTTTGAATTAATAAACGGTTATGATTTCTGTGTACGTAACATATTCCTTCAGATCTAGCACACGAAATAAAAAGGAATTTCTTATGAGTTTTTATACCCTACAACACTATGTGTTGGGGTATTATAAGTTTGATTGGCCCAAAAACTATGTTACACCTCGAAATATTGGTTTCCCACATGGGAAAGTATATATGGATCTTCCTATCCCGCCGAACTGAGTCGATCTAGCTATGTATGTCCGTCCATCCATCTGTCCATGTTAATTTGTAGTCACTCTAAATTTCGTGAGGATCGAGCCATAAGATCCCCACGAAATTTAAAATGGAGGTAAGGTTATGGTCGGAATAAAAGGCTATTTCTTTTGGAGATGATCGCATAATATTTAGAGGTTGAAATGAACTAAAAACATGAAAATTTTCCTGATTTTGCAGTTGCTCTACAGTTTGGAGTTATAGACCAATCGACGCGGAAGTTGGCATGGGGTTAGAGCTTAGGGCTGGTCAGAAGCCCACAAATTTGGATGGTCATCGGGTAATATTTAGTGGGTGAAATAAACCATAACATTTGTGTTAAATAAAAGTGAAATTTTCCATTAAACAGCGAAGATAGACCAAAAGGATCAATTTTGACCGTTACGTAGATACCGATAATAAATATATCGGATATATATAGCGAAATACAAAGGAAGGGGATTTTAATGAATGCTTATATCTCAAGGATGCCTGGACCGATTTTGACAAATTTTGTCAATTCAGAATGCCCTCTTAACATAAAAAAGATGCCAATAATGATGTTAATATAGATTTTGTAGTATCTTGTGCTATTTTTCATATTTTTTATCGCATGCGATTTTTTCAATTTGACTTATAATACTAAAGTGTACATTTTGTAATATTTTTTCACCTTACAACACAGTTTGGGGTTATTATATACAGATTGCAATTATCGTCAGGGCTAGGCCTATTGTTTTCAAAGATGTCCGCAATATATTTAGGTGTTGAAAATAGACCAACAACTAAAAATGTTCCTGATTTTGAAGCCGTTATAAAGATTACAAACCTATAGGACAAGAAATTTCGCATGAAGTTTGAGTTTAGGACAGTGGGTAGAATGGACCACTACTTTTGTGTGCAAAAATACCAACATTACTTACAGGTTATATCCGAAATACACTGATATGCTGATTTCGTTTACAAATATAGCCAAATATCGTAGACAAGCAATTCATATAGATGAGAAACAGAGGGGCCTCTTGCTTTTGGAAATTATCGCAAAATATTTAGGGGTACAAATGAACGAAAAAAAGGAAAAAAAATCCTGATCACACAATTGAAGCCAATCGACACACCTGTGAAAAGAGATAAGAACTTTTAACATATTGTAGTATTGTAGGGTATCACATGGTTGGCCCCGCATGACTATAGTCTTTGCTTACTTGTTTTTTTCTGGTTATAATAACATCTGGTGTCAGTAGTAGCTGAGGCTGCAGAAAACAAATGCTAAACTTTACAAAATAAGAAAATAATACGGCTTGTATGGAACATTTTCTTCTTCCTTTTTCCATAATTATATTTACATTTTGTTGCAGTTGATATTCGTTATACAATTCCAAAGATTATTTTTTGTAATTTTACGAGATTAACATACTGTATATGATTTTGTAATAGTGTTTTTATGTTCATAAATGATGAAACCATGGTACAAGAAGGAGGTAGAACAGCTTCGTAAAACTACAGAAATACAGGCTTGAGGCTATGTCCGCTTCCTGTCAGAATTATTAAAAATTATATCCAACAAGTTGTTTTCATTTATTTGATATTTTTTGTTCATTTTTAAAATGAGTCAATTAGCGCGAAAGATGAATGAAATGCCTGGTTGTTCTCTTAAAAATATGATCTCAACAGTTCTATCTTTCAATTCCATGGCAAATCTGGTTAATATCATTAATGCGCGCCCCGTGGTTAATATCGTTAATGGGCCGCCATAATAACCGATGGTCGCTCTCCGCTCGTATTAATCGATCGCGAATATTATCCCGAAAATATTCTGGAGGGTGTATTATTTTGGAAATCAAGGTTGGTACTAAAAAATACCGGGAATGGGCCAAAATACCGCAGAGCAACATTTGCGGAAGGCTATAATTCGTGCCAAAGGTGACGAATTCTAACAAATCTAGTTATTTTAAAATTTGATGCTATTGCCGGCATCTTTTGCTTTCATTCAATAAAACTTAAAAAAAAATGTAAAAATTATGGCGTTTGACTTTGTTGCAGTTTTTTATCTCACCCTGTAGTTGAGGTACGTAAAAGTTTTTTATGACAATTTTTTTTTTTGAGCAGTAAACAAATTTTTTTAACTCTAGCTTCCGAACGAATTGAAGTAGGTGTATGAAATTGTACTTAGATGTGTGTTTGGTCTGCTTTTGGTATTGAAAATGGGCTATAAAGGTCCACGTTTAGATATAACCCCCATATGACTATACCTGCCTACTTTCGGCGTTTTGAGTTCGTAATAGGTACTACAGACTGTGACAGAAAATTGTCTATGCAGACCCGGGAATTATGATCGCATATGATTTTAGCGGTATTTTTCACCGGAATCGCTTCAAATTTCGTATTTGCAGTTAGTGGTGTGTACTACAGTCTGTGTCTGACAATTGTCTATGCAGGTCCAGGTTTTCGCATAGCATATCAGTACCTCCTCATATTCGGTATTTTGATGATTTTGGCGACATTATTTACCGGAATTGTTTTACATTTCGTGCTTGCACTTCGTTAAAAGTACTACAACCTGTGACAGCAAATTGCCTATGAAGGTTCGGGTCTTCGTATAGCCCCCACATATCGGTACCTCCCTATATTCGACATTTTGTAACGGCAGGATTTCTTTCCTTGAGCTGGAAAAGATCGCCGGGGTCCAGGGGTTCATACAGAAATTTTCTTCGTTTGAGTTTGATATTACGTTTTTATTGAGAGCGAAACTTATACTATGTGTATTATACGGTAAATAAAAATGATCCTAATCGTCTTTGGTCCGGGATTGGAAGTGGTTCTTCAACTCGAGACCTGGATAAGTACTCGAAAAACGCGACAAGGACCCAGGATTTGGGTGCTCAGTATTCGGAGTGGATTCAGTGCGAGAGACCTGGATATGTACTCAAGCAGGGAACAGGATATCCAAAGATACGGTTGCAAGGGAATATAAATAATATGGAATATTTTCTTCCTCCTTTGTCCATTATTATATTTACTTTTTTTGTAATTTTCCGAGATTTACTTACTGTATATAAATTTGTAATAGTGTTTTTATGTTCATAAATTTTCATCTGTGCAAAATTTCAACAATGCTAAATTTTAATTGCAAAGAGCTGGGAAGTTTTTTTTCATATTCCTAAGAATGTGTTTACAACCGAACTTTCATTCTTTAAGAAAATGTTAAGTATTCTGCCGTGAACTCCCTTTACTCTGGAGGTGTTTGTGATACGGGCTAATGAAAAGCTATTTACAGATTTCTAGAAATTATATAATAACTAGCTGGTCCACTTCGCTTTGCCGGCCCGTAGTTTTAGTCTTGAATGCATAGTTTTTAAAGCATAATAATTCACAAATCTGGCTCACATAAGTGGCACAATTTTTAGTATAAATGATGACTCGATTAAATATAAATTAATACGTCTTTCAAAAAACCTGATCCTATTTTTCAGTAAGTGGTTTTAGTTTGTGAGTTAAAAACCTAAATAATATAGCATATATATCAAAAAGTATACATTAACTGCTTATAATAGCCCCACGTAAGTTGGTTCTCTACCCAGTAGCCTAAACACAAATTTGGGTATGGCAACCATATAATAGCATTTATAGAAAATATGCAAACTTTCTCGATTTTTTGGTTTTTTCAATTTCAAAAGGCATTCTGAAACGATTCTACACAAAGCTCCATATCATAATAGAATAGTCAATTTTTTCAGTCCCGCGATTTTTCTCAAAATTTTCTCTCATGACAACGTTTCCACTGTAATTACAAATAACCAAAAGAAAATTTGAGTCAAATCGGCCCAGCCGTTCTCAACAGATGTGTTACTATACTTTTTCAAAATTTTCACGTATAAATTAAAAGAAGTAGGTTTGGCCAGTTCCTCTGACCCCAAACAGATACCTAGGGTTGGAAGGAGAATCAAGATTACGTCGTATACTAACTGTGGAATAGATATCATCATGATTTTGGCAAATATAAGGATTTTGAAAAATGGGTGTGGTCACTTTTTCTTTGCATAAAAACCTAAACCTGAATGATCGCCCTAACATTTAAAAAAATATCCAAATAGTTCCAGCCGGTCTCAACTGATTACCAGTTACCAGCGAACAACAATTGGTTTATATATACAGATTAAAAAGTATTAATATATATGGTAATAAAATATTAATCTATATATATATATATATATATATATATATATATATATATATATATATATATATATATATATGTATGTATATATATATATATATATATATATATATATATATATATATATATATATATATATATATATATATAAAATTCTAAGAATTTATTGTTTACTTAAATACACCTAATTATGTATGTACTATAAATGTATGTACAATAAATTCTTAGAATTTTACGCATTTAGCAGTGTTTTTCTCAATGACTACCATTATTAAAGTTATAACAAAAAGCAGTGTTAACAAGCCATGAATGGGTTATTATTTATTATTAGCATACATTATTAATGCTTTGCTATTGCAAAGTTTATTTATCGGTTTATTTAAATCACGTCAACCAAATTTACTATTTTCTTGTTATTTTGTTTCTAAATATTTCTTACACATCACGCCTTGTGTACATACACACACACATAGTATGTAAATTATTTGTTTATTTGGTATAAATATCAGCATACTTTTGAAACTATGATGACAATTTTTTTCTTTTGCTTTTTAAAATCGAAATGCAGAAGTACGGTTCATTATCAGCCGAAAGCAAGTAAGCAAATCCCAAAAGCAGCACTCAATAACAAAACAACAATTAAATACACAAATTGAGAGATGTCTTTCAACAAACTTTCCAAAGGAAAATAGCGGGACTCACTCTCCCTCATCTTATACATGACACAGCCACCATTACATCGTGTATCGTGTCTGTATGTGAGTAAAATGCTCATCAATCCCAAGATGTACTCTCATTTGAGCAAAAAACAAAAAGGGAAACAAAACTGGTTTTAATTTTAAATGCAAAATCTCTATCGAAGATCAAACCATTCCGCATTGAAGCTTGAGACAAAGAAGACGAAACAGCAAAGCAGACAGTCTGAACTCAATTATACATCAATTTCGGTTATACTAAAAACAAAACAAAGCAAAATAAAATAAGATGATAATAAGAAGTGGAGGGCATTTAATGTGTTTTGTAGTGTTTGTTGTATTGTTAAATGTGATCATAACGAAAAATGTAATGGCAACAAAAACAGCACCGGCACCACAACCTCCTGTATCCTCTAGTAATGCTGCAACTCCAACGGGAATTTTCAATATAATACCCCAAACGTTTGACAATGGCCACTACGCCTACGATGACATCGATGATTACGTGCCCTTTAGCAGTGACGTTCATGATCAATTTTCGTGGGAACTCTTAAGATACGTACTGAAAGAGGAGAAATCCAACGTTATTATTTCACCATTTTCGGTAAAATTGCTTTTGGCCCTTTTGGCCGAAGCTGCGGGTAACAACACGCAAACGCAAAAAGAATTGGTCAAGACACTCGACGTGATCAAATCACCTGACAACCTACGTGGTTTTTATAAAAAGATATTGACATCGCTGAAAAAGGAAAATCCCTACCACACACTAAATTTGGAAACACGAATGTTCACGGATGAGTTCGTTGAACCAAAACAGAGATATGCAGCAATGTTGGCGACGTTCTATAGTACAGAAATTAAGCGTCTTAATTTCATGGATACCCAAGCGTCGGCAGATCACATTAATGACTGGTGTAAAAACGTTACTAATGGACGTTTGCAAAATCTTGTTACGAAGGATTCCATCCAAAACAGTGTGATGGTTTTGGCAAATGCAATTTACTTCAATGGTTTGTGGCGCCGTCAATTCAACGAGTCATTCGATGGCGTCTTTTTCAAAACACCCAACGTTCAGAGCAAAGCCCAATATATGGAACAAACGGAATATTTCTACTATTATGACCACAGCTCGCTTGATGCGAAAATTTTGCGATTGCCATATAAAGGCAAAAAGTTTTCCATGTTCATTTTGCTACCCAAGACAAATGGTGGTGTAGAGGAATTAACGAAAATACTACAGAATGACCAGGTTAAACGTATGCAGTTCATGATGGAGGAAACCAAATTGAAAGTAACATTGCCAAAATTTAAATTCGAATTTGATAAGAATCTTAAGAGCACACTTTCGGCATTGGGTATCCATGATATCTTCACGGATGACGCCTCTTTACCCGGCCTCGACAGGGGAGCTAATGTTGCCGGTAAATTAAAAGTTTCAAATATCTTGCAAAAAGCTGGCATAGATGTCAATGAAAAGGGAACGGAGGCATACGCAACCACAGTAATTGAGATCAGTAATAAATTTGGTGGAGATACCACAATCGAGGAATTTAACGTCAACAGGCCGTTCATATTTTTCATTGAGGAAGAAGCCACTGGTAGCATCATATTTGCTGGAAAAGTGTTGGAGCCAATATTTTAATAGAATGTATAATGAGTCAAAATATCAATAATCCTACAAATGTTTTGCAATATCAGTATAGAAGAAGAAAAGATATCCACTTAGATGATTTAAATAAATCGAATATTTTGTCAAACAAACTTTGTAACTTTTAGACTGATTTAACTTTAGCTAGCTATTGAAAATGTGTCTAAAACCATCTTGGTACCGATATCGGGAGGTACAATTGAGGTACAATTTGGATCTATATAGACAATTCTTTGCAACAATGTTTTCTATCCGCTGGAAACACAGACCGACCGAACAATACCATATTACCAAATTTCGAGTTGCACCGTAATATGGGCCTATAACAAATCAAATATATATACCATTTTCAATTTCAAAAATTCAATGAATGAAAAGTAGATATCAATTTTATCCTCATGTAAGGGATCAAATTAATTTTTAGTATGGTAAAAACCGTAGCAAAATTTTCCAGTCAAATGAGCAGTAAATTGGAATTTGCTGTATTTTGTACACCTCATAATTGAGGGCTGAATGATTTAAGAATAGCCAAAGTTAATTACTTTTTTAAACCCATTAGCACCTCAGATTGTGCATTGGAGTCCTCATAAGTCCCCCTAACCATGTCGTTCTGTTTGTCCGCCAAAAGGTAGACTAAAAGGGATACTATTACATGGAAAAAATTCTAAAATTTGTAGATATGTTGAAAATTTTATGTAAGATTTTCACCCCCCAAATACACATTTTTAGACAAATCCTTTGAAATATGGTAAAATCAGGAGGTACCTTTATATGGGTACTACTCCGAAACACGGACCTACATTGAAAACTTTCTTCTACCCCTTATAATCCAAGATGACATAGAATAGAGGCCATATCAAAAATAAAGAGGAACAACATAGCATGTCAAACTGAAAAAAAATTTGGCGTGATTTAAATAAGTAAAAATAGTTTTATCCACCTCATAATTGAGGTGGATAAATAGTCAAATATAATTACTATTTTACACCCATTACCGTAAGATGGGAATTAATTTTATTTAGCACTTAAATTGTAAGTTGGAGACCCCATAAAGTCCATATTTTTCATCATAGTATAATTCAATGACGATTCAACAAATATTCGGTCCCGTGCTACTTTCTTATATTTGTAATTTGTTCATGTTTTGACAATTTATTTCATATAGATGTACATCCCAAATCTACGTTTCTAACCAATATTTTTTTGGGGGTTACAAATGCAATAGAATACAAAATTTTCTTTTCTGAACACACATTCGATGTGAAAGTGGACTTGGGGATACTCCAATGGGGACTTTACTTAAATAAATTCTTATGGGGCAATTATCTGTATGATGGTTCCCTACCCCAATGTAGCATATATACAATTTTTTAGCCAAATCAATTGATGAATGTGGTCAAGACTAATGTGGGCCCTACTCCAAAAATTTCAAATTTTATGCGAAGAGGTTCTCTACCCTCTTAGAAACAAAGATGCCAAAAATGAAAAAAGTGGCCAAGGTCACAAAAATAGCTTAAATCATACGACGGTTATATATCATGACCTGCAAAAGCGATTTAAGGTATCTTGAATGTTTGGGAAGAACTTCTGGAAGGATAGAAATCCTTTTCTTACTACAAGTCCTATTCGCTCTACTATTTTGCACCCTTTATATTTGGTATTTTACTGATTGTACTCCCAAAAAATTTGCATTTTGAGCTCTCATTGGACGGATTATTGCAACATGAAAGAGGCTTTTTCGGTCATTTTGTTTGTTTAAATGTGTTCGCATCTTCCAGCTGAACCACGATGTAGGCCCTGGAGTTGAAAGGTAGATGTCAGTTAACATCGCACTTATTTCATTTTTTTTGGTGAAAAATTGTATAAAGTGAAAAATGACTTTATTTTGTTAACAATCCACTGAATTCAATATGATAATACCAATTGAAAAAAATTGACAAAAAAAGAATAACAAATTAAAAAAATCTTCAACTTGGATATTATCCTTTTCGGACAAGAGTTATTTATATAAGATTATCAACATCAAATACCAACTATAAAAAAATTCCGTTGGACAATGTCGATAAAATCATCAAAATAAAGCGAGGTATCATTTAATGGGGGATATACAAAATTGTGGATCTGTAGAAGCTGTTTTCTGTCATAGAAGTGATCATCCATTACGATTTCCAGATACCAAATTTGAAACAATTTCGGCAAAATTGAGAAAATATCGGATATCGAGATGTACAGTTATATTAGGCTTTGCGAGGACGTGGACCTGTTTAATCCATTTTCTGTCATAAGAAAAAGTACAAACCCCAAGTACTAAGTTTGAAACAATTCCGGTAAAAAAAAATGTGGCTAGATCTCTTCCTTTAGATCATAAAGGCCTTTTGCTTACATATCTGGGCTGTGGTGTTTGCGATAGCTGTGTTTATAACACCCAAACTAATATCGAATCGACGGAATTTTTGATGCTGTCGCACCGATATGAGCTTCGCTACGTTGCGGTTCTGAGGGCGGCGTTCTGGAAGGACTGAATATGATTTATTAATTTCATTGCAAATGCCAAGTGTGCAGGAAACTGCAATCATTTGAAGTTGAGTGGCATTTCTGTTGCAATTAATGAATTCAAGGTAGCAACATACTTCCCCGTAATAATCGTATCCTCAATTAAATTGTTGTGGAGCTTTTTACTGTTAGCCTAAAACCATTGCAAAGGGGTTGTGGATCAATGCTTCTTAATAAAATCATATCCCAATCTAAACCAATTCCAACATAATTTGACAAAATTTACTTTTACAAAAAACTCCGTCACACCTTCCATATTTAACTTAAATTTTGTGTAGCCTATGTTAAAATTTCAGGAAAATCTGTGCAGCGGTTTTCGGCTCCATAAATTACAATCAAACAATGACGATTAAACAAATGTTCGGTCCCGTGTTAACTTCTAAAATTCGTAATTTTTTTCATATTTCTGCCAATTTCCGACTGAATGAGTTCCAGTTAGACATTTCGAAGTTTATTTCATACAGACGTACATCCTAAATCTACGTTCATAACAAATATTCTTTTGAGGGTTGCAAATTCAATAGAATACAAAATTTTCTTTTCTAACCACACATTGGTTAGGAAAGTGGACTTAGCCCAAATCAGGGCCAACAAAATAAAAATGTGGCCAAGATATTTTCGGGGTCTTAAATAATATGATGGTTATACCAAAACGTGATAAGTTTTTGTAAGGTTGTTTTCTTCTCAAATGACCTACATTTGCCGAAATTATATAAAACAAGTAAGCAAAGGCTACAGTCGAGCGGAGCCGACCGTTGAATACCCTACAACACTATAATAAACGATACAGTTTATATAAGAGAGATACTCGAAAGAATTCCACAAGATATTGTGACAAATAATAAACGAAAACCATCAGGTTTCGTTCTCTAATTTTCGAATAATAGCAACTTAAACTAATTTGCTCATTTCCAATTTATTGGTATCTACATATATGAGATACATACATTCTAAAACGCATCCGTATGAGATACAGACATTTGACTATATTCTTCAACGAAATCAGCATAACGAAATAGTCAGAAGTGCGTCTTTCCTGTATTTGTGAATTCTCCAAAAAGTCACTGGAATGGATTTTCGTATTTTATCTACAAAAGTTGGCAAACTGTTTCACACATTGAATATTTTTGGATGGCCATCCGAAACTGCTTGGCTTTTGCAATGTGCGGTAACGCCCTTTCGGGCGATAATTACGACCTACCGAAAATTTTGCAGTTTTTTGGTCCATTTCAACCCCTAAATATATGACGATCATCTCCAAAAAGAGTAGGCTTCTATTCTGACCCTCATCTTATCCCCATGCAAAATTTCGTAAGGATCGGGCCATAAATGCGATCTGTATATGATATCCTCATATCCTAACTACTTAGTTTTGTTAGCTGTAGAAATATTACCAAATGTTTAATTCAAAATGAAAATATGCCAAAAAAAATGACAAAATTGAAAAAAAATATGAGAAAATTTTACAAAATCAATATTTTCATCTTTAGAGAGATATTTTTATGCGATTTTTTAGACGTTTTTTCTTTCCTGCCAAGAGGCCATTCCTAATTAATGAGAACTGTCGAAATCAGTTCAGCCGTTCTCGACATATAAGAGATCTTTCAAGCATATCTCCTTTGATAGACATATATATCGCACATATTTTGCTATATATCCGATTTATTGGATAATAACATCAATGTAAAGGTCAGAAGTAACTTTGTGATGGCTTTGTGATTTCGCCGGGATTTAAAATATTCACGGTTTAATGAAAAATTTTGATTTTTTTCAACAGAAAAGATATAGTATATTTTACCCGCTAAATATTATCCGATGACCACCCAAATTAGTAGGCTTCTTCCCCGCCCTAAACTCTATCTACATGCGAAATTTCGCGTCGATTGGTCTATAATTGCGACCTGTATAGCTACTGCAAAATCCGACATTTTTTCAGTATTTGGTCCATTTCAACCCCTAAACATTTGGCGATCATCTCCAAAAGCAATAGGGTTCTATTCTGGTCCAAGCCCCACCTACATTCTAAATTTCGTGAAGATCGGGCCATAATTGCGACCTGTAGAGTGATTACAAATTAACATGGACAGACGGACAGACGGGCAGACGGACGGACGGACATACATAGCTAGATCGACTCAGCTCGGCGAGCTAGGAAGATCCATATATACTTTCCTATGTGGGAAACCAATATTTGGAGGTGTTACATAATTTTTGGCCCAATCAAACTTATAATACCCCCAACACATAGTGTTGTAGGGTATAAATATGGTTAAATTTTAAAATATACTTGAAATCGGGTTGTACCCTTATTCGGGGGATTTAAGGTATCTTGAAAGAAGAAATCCTAATGTTCAATCCGATCTACTATTTTGCACCCTAAATATTCGGTATTTCACTGATTGCAGTCTCAATGAACTTAGGATTTTGAGTTTTCTTTGTACGGATTATTGTAGGTCTACGTTCTGAAATGAGCCCCATAACGCTTTGTCGGTCATTTTTGTTTGTTTAAATGTGTTTGCATCTTCCAGCTGAAGCACGATGTAGGTTCTGGAGTTGAAAGCTAGAAGCCAATTTTGGATATGAAAGATCGCCATTTAACATCGTATTGCGCACTCATTTTATTTTTGATATTATTCATTTAGAATTTAAAACAATAAAAAAAAACTAACTTTGATTTTGTACCGATTTTGAAAAAGTAATTATTATTTAACTTTGGTGTGACCGCATTTAATTAATATTTCGACATCATCTATTCAGTTTCGCCGCCATACACTTCAATGCAACCCGCCTGCAATTTCAGTTCTCAAGAAATCGAGTCACTTAAATAAAGTTAATCAAATTGAAATAACCGTTCGTACACGATAAAATATTGATTTCTTTGTTCATAGCTTATCTTTTTTTGAAATGGTATTATTCGTATAATTCCATTTACTCCATAAATACATAAAATCTATAAATAACTGTTTTGTCCGTTATCGCTTTATAGTCCCCAAAAAGACTACACATCATATAAGAATTCAAAAATAAAAAAAATAATAATAAAAAAACACTACAAATGTACATTTGAAAATAGTCAGACAAAAAGGAAACAAGTTAAAAAGCAGTAAAGCATTTTTTCGCATTCTAATAATGTGCTTCGTTTAAAGTTATGTAACCATTTAACTACTATTGAATTGTAACTTTGCATAATCTTATCTTTGCCTTACATTTTTCCATTTTTCACTTGTTTCTTCGATTTTTTCGCCTATTCTATCTTTCTGCATTTAATCTTAAAGTATTTGCGGCTGGGGAGCCAACAAACTTAAACTTAAACAAATCAGGATAGAGTAAAATAAAGTATTTTATAGTAATGTGTCATAATATAAATATTTGTATTATTATAATTAAGTTTTTTTTTCTATTTGGTAATATTAATAATAATATTGGAAATTTTCAAAAAATAAAATGCGTTAAAAATTTTGAAAAACTTTTAAAAATACCAAATATAGTCGTTATATTGGGGTCTATACGACGTGGACCTACATAGGCATTGTTTGTTATAAGCCATTACCATATTCAAATTCGAAACTTGAAATAAACGGTGAATAATGTAGCTAAAATCATCAAAATAACGTATATAGGGGTACCGTTGTGATATCGGAGCTATACGAAGACCTGGACCTGTAAAGACAATTTTCTATCAAAGGTTGTAGCATCTTTTACGAACTTCAAATACGACATCTCAAACAATTTCTGTGAGTATTGTACCCAAAATCGTCAAAATACCGAATATTGGGAGGTACTAATATATGTGGCCTATACGAAGACCTGGACCTGTATTAACAATTTTCTGTCACAGACTGTTGTTCCCATTACGAACTCTAAATACGTAATTTAAAACTACTCCGGTGAATAATGGCACTAAAATCATCAAAATATCGAATATTGGGAGGTACCATTATAGGGGGACTATACGAAGACGTGGACCTGCACAGACTATTTTCTGTCATAAGCTGTAGTATCCATTTCGAACTTCAAATACCAAATTTGAAACAAATACCGAAAATCGGAAGGCACTATTATTTGGGGGCTATATGAAAACGTGGACCTACATTTACGAACTTAACCTGCCTACTGGCAAAATAAACATGTGTGCAAAATGTTAGTCCTCTACCTCAATTCGTTCGAAAGATAGCGTGATCACAGAAAACAAACGGACATCGCTAAATCGACTTAGAATTTTACGCTGGGTCTGAGATGAGTATTTCGAGGAGTTACAAACGAAATGACAAAGTTAAATGCAAAATAAAACATTACAATTGTACATTGCAAAAGTCAAAATGAAAATTTCACATTTCTACGCGATTTCTTGGATTTTATCCTTTTTTGTTAAGAGACCTTTCCGAATTTGTCTGAATTGTTAAAATTAGACCGAGCAGCAGTTCTTGAGTTATAAACGTAGTAACTTTCTTTTATACCGCGTTGCTGACGCATAGTATTAGTGTTTAATGTATAAACGTTTAGCTTTCCTTTTTTAAAAATTCTAAATTTTCATAAAAATTTTGGTTTGCAGTCTATCTAAAAATTTGCCGGTTTCATTGTTTACTTATAGAGGTTTTTCTTGTTTTGTGGTTTATTGTTTTATTTCGTTCAACACACTTAATTAAGGGACACAATTCACTGGTGTAAATATTTTCGATTTTTTGGAGTTTTCGTCTTTAGAATCGAAAGTAGTTTCTAAATTAAAGTAAAAGCTCACAGCAAAAATGTCAAACGGTACTTTTTAAGTGTTTCAAATGCCCTGGCTACATGGATTTCATTTAACTATCAAAAATAAGGTGTCATCAAATTATAAATGTTAGGTACCCCAGACGGTATGTAAAAGAGCAGAAATCTTTGTCGATTAAATTATGTCCGTGTGCCTCCGGTCGACATTTGCAATTAAGATAGAGGTCGCCACATTCAATATGCGATGATTTATGTTACAAAAGGTATATATTGTCCTCATTTAGATATAGCCCTCATATTATTATCTCATAAAAGTCTTCGACCTAATGTGCCAAATTTGGCTATGATGATTTCAGTATATTTAAATCTAGTACTTTAATACTGGTTCCACCCACATAACCTGCCGATTTGAGCTATTTTTTTCATATTCGTTATCTCATCGTACTTAATTAAATTTTCAAACCTTTTAAAGTATTTTGTCAACCGTATGTATTCTAGATCAGGGTTAAATCTTATATGTCCTATAAATCGCAATTAAGGCGCAATATTTAGGTTAATCTATGAACCTTTGTACAATATTCCTAAGATGATTGGAAATTAAGATTTTGAGTGATTTGATGCTTTCGGAAATATTTTCTAATCAAAATTTAAATGTTTGGCATGGCAACCATATTTCAGCATAAATAAACAAGTAAAAGGCTGTAAGTTAGGCCGGGCCTAACTTTGAATACCTCGAACTTGATCTAAGACTGATCAAAATAAACACATGAAACCCTGATGCGCATCATATACCAAGATTTACATCTATTTTTCAAGTTTATGATTGTTGTAGTTGGGTTCTTCACCCAAATTGTTCGTGAATCACGTTTGACCATAAATCATACTAATCTTATAATTCGGAATAAAATAAGAGGCTAAATAATAGATATTGTAAAGTCAATTTGAATATGAATTTTTTCTTCCAAACATTGCTAATATAGCGCGATAAAAATTCTAGACTTTCACTAAGTAGTCATTAGAGTGAGGGTATAAAAATTCCATTGCAAATGTGCTTGGATAACAAGTAACGTTATTGCGCACAAAAGTCTAAAGCAAAATTCAATGAAAGTGATTAGATGTGATTCGATGATATCACTGTGGCATTTGTTAAGTTCTGATATATTTTTTAACTGTCACAAAAATGTGATTCAGGACAATGTGAAAAGCGTGAATGTTACATGTGTACTAATTGCGAAAATGTCATGCCAAAAATTGGATTAAAATGGAATGTCAGTGGTTTTTTGAGTTTGTCGTGCCAAAAATCTCTCTCTTCCAAAAAATGGAGCGCACGTGCCACATATCACTTGTGTCGATAATTTAACAGAAACTTTAGCATCAAACATTTTTCTGGGCTACAACAGTTTGAATTCTAATATTATGACAAATCTTTACAAATAAGTAATAATGCCGTTTAGAAAGAAAAACGTTCGTGTTTCTTATATTGAATTGTTCATTAAAATAAAGTATATAGTTTTGTTGAAATGTTAACGACAAAAAACACCAATATTCAGTTCCAATTATTTGAAAAAGCTCAGTTCTGTGATATAGAGCTAAACTCTGCTACAATATTTCTATTATACATTTTTAATTATTTTTGAGATTATACAAAATCTGTGTTGTAATTGGAATGTAAAAGAAACAAATTGATTTTCTAATATGACTCCTTAAGAAGTTGGAAACAAGTCAACGAAACGTTGAGTAAAATATGAAATAAATTATTATTTTTTCCACAAAAACAACTTACCGAATAGGACCGGTGGAAACTCTTTAAACATAAAAATAATTACAATACGGCCATAAAACCACAACAACAAAGAAATTTGTGTTTACTTTGTTTGTTTGGTTTCTCGCCTGTTGAGCTTGCGATGGGATGGGTCTTAAAAATATTTAAAGAGGTGTTTTATTATTTATATTACTCTTTAAATATTTCTCTAAAACAACAACAACAACATTGGGATTACCTATATCTAATATCTATTCATAAAAACACATAAGGCATACATAAGCATATATATTACATGGAATACTTACTTCCTCCTCCAGTTATTATTGCGGCTGGCTGTTGAGAAATGTGTATCTTATTTGGTTTAGCATTTTGCAAATGCATATTTTGTACTCCGTGTGACGGTGGATAGTGACTATGGTGATCCGCGACTTTTGTATGTTGTTGATTGGAATCCACATCAGGGTCAAATTTTATGTGTTGCCCAGAGGAAGCAACAGAGGAACGCCTACCACTCTGATTGTTGTTGTGGTTACGATTATAGCGATAAGTTGTATTGCCACCGCCATTGCCGCCAATTGTAGACATGTTATGGTGTTGTTGCTGTTGAATGTTATCAACCATACCATTCGAGTCATTAAAAAGGTTTTGTAATGCTTGCAAACGTCGATTTCCAGTACTATTACGAGAAGTATTGACATTACTTTGATTTAGAGGCGGATTACAGCCTCTATTCAGGGGCAGTTGCTGTTTTGCCACCTGAGCAGCAGCGTTTAGCTGAAGAATTTTCTGTAAGCCTAGGACATTGGTCTGTTCCTCAAGTTTTCGTTTTATTAATGCATTCTGCATAATCAAGTTGGCATGGGTTTGTAATTCTTCTTGACTCATGGGTTGTATGGTTGATGTTCGTTTTCCGGGGGCATGCATTTGCTGGTGCTGCTGTTGAGCTGCAAGCGTCTGCTGTACTATTGCCAAATTTTGAAGATTTTGTAGCTGGTTCATTAATAAATTATTCGACAGCACATCATATTGTTGTTGCTGTTGTTGCTGCGCAGACGTGAAAGTTAGAACAGCGGTTATAGCTTCCCGGTCTCTTTGTGGCAACCTAGGATTGGCCAATTGTATTAGCAATCCATGCTTCGATATTTCACCTGCAGGTAAAAGTTTTTTTTCCAAATAAATTTCTCTGTAGTCAAGTCATTTTGTAAAGATAAACAATGAAACAATATATGAACTTAGTTATCAATTATACTAACCCTTAGCTAATCCCAATAACAACATCTGAGCTTCTGGACGGCCCAAAACAGCTTTAAGCTGCAAATTCGCAATTAGAGCAGCCTGTTGCTGCTGTAGAAATGCATTCTGCTTATTGTATGTCGACTGCAGGGGACTCGGCGTTATTGCAATTCCAGGCGTTTGTTTCTGTTGCTGTTGCAACTGTGAATTTTTAAATATAAAATTAGATAAATTTGCATTATTAAACAAATTGTTGAATTGTGCCCTGTTTTGTTGCGCCCCCTTGGACAACAATGAACTCGTATTACTATTCATTGTAACACAGTTTGTCAATTGTCCAATGAGCTTTTTGAAATTTTCGGACTCACGACTCACATTGTTGTTGTTGGCATCATTGGGTGAAAAACTTTCGTTGTTTTTTATGTTCGAGGAATTTTGTCGCCATTTGGCTTCCAATTCATCGACTGAAGTCATTTCAGCAATGTTTATATTTCCATTCGAACAGCCAGCATTGGTGGGAGCAATGTTCTGTTGCTGGGGCATTAGCAAATGCAGCGGATCCGTTTTGCTCTGAGAATTCATCGCATGCTTAAAGAACTCATTTAGCGAAGCCGAAGAACCGTTTTTCTCCAATTTTTCATTCGAGTTGTTGCTCGAAGAGCAGCCAGTAAAGAATTGTAAAAAGCGTGAACTTCCATTATGGTTATGATATTGAAAATTGTTGCCAGCAGTATCGTTTACATTGCGATTAGGATGGTTCGAAGAATTGTGGGAACGGGCTTTGTTATTGTTTCCCGAAAAATGATCATATTGAAATGGTAGGGATTTTTTCTCATTTTGATGTGGCTTTGTTGTCTCAACTATATGTATGTCCTTTTGATGCGGCTGGATGTTGTTGTTGGCATCACTTTTCGACGACAATTTACGCATTCGATTTGCTTTAGATTCATTCTGAAATTAAAGAAAAATACACAACCGCATGGTTAGTAACAAGTAAATAAAGTAAATGTGACTTTTAGGTAGAATTTTTTCTAACACAGCTTGTGAGACAGTTTTTCTTAAATTTGTATTTATTTGCTAAATAGCTTCCCTATAAACGTCGGAAAGAATTATGAATGGAATGCTTGTGGAACGTTTATAACTTTGTGGAGTATATTTTTGATGCATTCGACACGAAATTTCTCAAATTTGTTCGATTGTATATAGCTACTTTTGTCATAGCAACAAGTCGGCCATCATAAACAAGTCGGCCATCGCACACAATTTTTTCCAAATTATTTTCTCTATCATTGCGATTAATGTTTAACTACTATTTAAATTATAAAATTCTACCAGGGGGATATACATTCAGAAGGGGGTTCTGGTCAATCACCAACATTAAATCACTCTCGATTGCGCTAACCTCCTCCTTGTAGAAAATTTGAAATGTTTAAATATTTTATTTAATGAAAATGCTATTCATTTTTGCCGTAATTCGTTCGTACTTAAGTTCTTAATTACACAATGCATAAAAATCATTTCGTCGATTAATATTTTCGTATAAGTTTATTTATTGCGATAACAATGGGAAAATTAGTAAAATAAGAATGGTTTAAATGCGATTAATTAAAATGAAATAAAAAAACTTCCGTTCAAAAACATCTGTAAATTAAACAGATTGTGCGAAAAATTACTTAGAATGTGAAACTTTATCTTGTAATAAAATAATTTATTTAGAATAACTCGTCTTGTTTTAACCGAATCATAATTTGAGTCTCAAAAACAGGGCAAATGACATATATCGTGCAATCCAGGCTTAAAAGCAGTGACCTATAATTCCAAAGCTGGGAAATCAAGTCATAAATTTCCTATAGATCTAGAAATTCGGACGGTTCTTAATTCCAGTAAAGTAAACATATCGCTGCACGCTTATGTCAAAGTCTGGTATATGCAAATTGTTTTACACATAATTGCCGAATACATTGAGAATAATGTGGAGAACTCTAACTTAACCTTTGTCACTTTCCTTGATATGAAAAGAGCTTTCAACATTGCATTATGGTCCCAAAACGAATTTATCTTAAACACCTTAGTGGTGTTCCCTTTTTGCTTTTAAATAGCTTACCTTTCCAAAAACTGTTAAAATCAATAAGACAGAGTGGACCACTTATGCAAAAGTTTAGACAAAATATGGGCCAATGTTTACCAATTTGTGTGTGAAGATTATTATTGTTTTAGAAACAGAACAAATTTGAAAAAGAAAGAGTGCGCTATTTAATGCTACCTTTAAAAGTATATTACCAACTTGCTTTTTTTGTATTGATCTTTTTTTCTTCTCATGGTTAAATTTAAAAAAATAATACTCTTTCCTTACCATATTGGAGTAATAATTTATTCTGAGATTTGGATGCAAAGAAATTATTCCAAAATTGGGCAAATACAATACACTATACAATATAGGTCCAAGTGAACAAATCTCATGTGAGGTGTCATACTTCTATGAAGGAGTTTTGTCGCCAATCCATTGGCCTCAGTGCTACATTAATTGTAATGAGAGAATACTAGATTAAGAGAATAATCAATTTAGATTATTTAGATCGATAGTTTGAAATACTAGCGCGAGAATAATATTAGTTGCCTGCACAAATAATGAAGTGGCGTTGCCCAGTAAAATCCTAATTGCAAATCTGGTTAGAACCCCTCCCTTTCGTTTAAAAAGGAAATGGTCGTGCTGTATACATAGCTATGTTCAGTTTAGTAAATGATTAACTTTAAACAAAATTGTAAATGTTATTGCTTACCTTATTGGCATGTTGTATTTGATTTTCTTTGTATTCATCGTCATCAACCGTCTCTTTGCTGTGACGACTACTATTTTTCTCAGAATGATGATCATCATCTTCGTCGAAACCGCACAACTCAATTGTATCCAAACGTGATGTTGGTCCACAACTGAACCATTCGGGTTCCTCATTGTGAGTTTTATGCTGTTGCTCGTATTTATCCTCAGATTCTCTATCCTTGGGATTCGACACAACTAGGAAGCCCGACACAACACGTTTAACATAATTGGATTTTCCGATATCAGTGCGATCTTTAGCACTCACGTCCTGTTTCATTACGGTACCAATACTATTTGATACTGTCGAATGATGGATGTTATGTACTTCATGATTGCTAATAGTTCCATTATCCATGAATTGCAACAACTTAAGTTTTCCGGTAATTTTATCTGTTTCGTTATTTTGAGTATCCAGATCTTGAAAGCCACCACCAAAAGATTTCGATTGATGATGATTATTATCTTGCTGATGTTGATGAGAAAAATTGGAGGACCATTTAGGATGCTGTATGCGCCCGCTACCGATTCGCCTCTGATTGGTTATTATAGCTGGATCCTAAAAAGTCAAATAATGTGTGTTTTAATATTGAATGTGGACTGGGAGACTTTAGGATCAATCTAGTCCTGAAATTTGGAATCAAATTTGTTGGTGCAAGATATCAAATAAAGTGAAGTGTTTTGAAACATTAAATGCTTCAACTTGAGGTAGAATTCAGAATTATTGTTTGAATATTCTTATATTCTTCGCCAAATTAATAACCAAATTGAAACTTCCTAAAATTCCTAAACATTAGATAAACGTGACTGCTGGGAACCCATTGTAAAATGCATGAAAATTTACTGATAGGAGGACTTTTTAGGGTTAAAATAAGAGGTTATTTGCACTAAATGTACGAAAATGTACTGAGTGCCACTGAATGTTGTATATTTTCATATGGCGTGCACAGATTAAACTAAAATTTATTTACTAAATTAATCTGGTTCTTCCTCTATGACCAGGTTTAAGAATTCTGCTACCTCTGGACGGAGTTGGGTAGGCTTGGCTGGAGAATTCAACAGGTGCAGCGTATAGTGCGGGCCTGTGTCGCACGCTGGGCAGGCGTTCCCGCACATCTTCATCGATTCGTACCCAATATGAATTGAGACGGCTGCACCATCCTGAACGTAGTTAGGCCAAAACTACCCTGGTTTACCTAGGCAGCCGACGTTCTTCAACTGCAATGCATGGGGCTGGACTCCGAGAATGGCATTCATACTATAATTGTTTACTACCTCAGCGACTGAATCAGTATTTATGCTATTCAGACGCGCTTGATAGGCTTCATGATCTAGGGGCTCTCTCTTATATCGCCTGACCTCTCTCTCTAGATCATGCAGGTCCTTCCTGACACGCCTGGGTGGGGGAGTTCTATCCACCATATGGTAGTTAGGATGACTCCTACGATAACACACAATCAGGTACTGCAACGAGAGCATATGATTATGCTGACGTAAGGGAAGAACCTTCGTCTCCTCATGTAAATGGTCGACTAGGGTCATGAGGAGGCACCCTGTTGCAGTTTTCAGGGCGGCATTCTGGCAGGTCAGAATACTTTTCCTCTGCGTTGCACTTGTATTCGCAGACCACACTGGAGCCGCATAGCCAACCACAGACCGACCTATCCCTTTATAAGAGGTCAACAAGGTTTCTTATCCGCATTTTAAGTGCTGCCGGCTAGCGCCTTGAGGACCTTGTTCCTACTTTTCAGTTTATCGCAGATAGCTGTGGCTGGCGCGGAATTTGAACAGCAACTTGTGGCGTTAGGTGCTGCGGTGAAGGTTGCTGTTCTGGAGACTTCGGGGGAGTCCCATACTCCGACGACGACTCAGAAGTTGACAACGAGGTCGTGGACTCACTGGGGACTATGTTGGTACAGCACGATACAACATAGTCCCTATCGCTTTAGTCTCGCAACCGGGTTTAACCGGAACAATTCCTAAAATCGCACTGAGACTGATCTGTGGTGGATGATGTTTTGGCAAACCGTACAGAACCATGGTCCGGGTTTTCCTCAATCCCGTCACGGACCAAAAGAATCCGGAGCTAGCATTCCATGGGCCCACAGGGCCCATAACTTATATTATCTATATAAAATACCCTAACATAATACAAATTCAATGATTAATTCAAACTTAACAAATAACATATTAAACCTAACAATTTATCTTAAAAATTCACGAGAAACTCTGACCCTACACCTCGATTCAACGTCACCAACTAAACAATATTCTAGAAGAGCAGTGAAAAAGTGTAGCAGAAACGAGCTAAAAAAAGAGAGAACTATTTTATTACTCACTAAACAGAGTATAAATAGTAACTTACATTATAACACCCTACAAATAAAATTAAGAAGATACTATAATGACTCCCCAGCCCAACAAAAAGAAAAACAAAAAAAGAAAAACCCATAATAAACCGGCGCAACCGACCGAAGAAAACATGAATATCATCTGCATACAAAAACAGACAACACCTGTCGTCAACAACTAAGTGCACAATGTCATTAATGAACATAATAAATAAAACGGTCCCAGTACAGAACATTGCGGTACTCCACATTGGACAATACAGAAAAATCAACAAACACGAACATATATACACTAGGTTGGCAGCCGCTGGTCGAAACTGGAGTGTTGTTGTTTCGGGTCAATCCGATGTCGTAAAACCCGCTACCGTGGGATCGAATCTTGTGGATCCAATTCCGTCATTATATATACAATTACTCACTAGTACTAAAGCAACAAGTGCAAACATCCTATAGTGTGGCGTTGATACAATACCAAATGAAAACAGATATCGGCACTATACGTGTAAACAAATTTGGACCAAATTAAATACAAGTGCCAAGATTTAGCGTTATCGACCGCAAATATCTTTTTTAATTTAAAAGCCAACAGGCCACAAAATGGATAAAATGATTATGTTCAATCATACTCTAAAGCAACAAAATTATTAAAATCTCTGTAATAAAAATAGCTCAATAAAATTGAATTAAAAATTAACTAGTTACGTAAAATTTAGCTAAAAAGGAAAAACAAAATTGGAACTATAACAATTTTTTCATCAATATTAAATGTGAACGAACTACATCCATCAAAGGCCATTAGTTATTGCTACTGTTAATAGCCAAAAATATTTGGAATTAAACAAGTGGAATAGACGACGCTTAGAAAGCAGATTCGGTGTAAAACATTTCGGTAGGCAACACATAAAAGAGTCGCGATATTCGTTCTAGAAATGGCTTATCCATGTATCGAAGTGCAGAAGAAATTATAACTGATTTCGTCTCGTAGAGTTAGAGAAACGAACGATACAAAAAAGTCGGAAACTGATTCCTAACCAAACTTTCAAAAAATAAATGAAGCCAAAAATTAATGAAATTGGGAAATAAAAATCTCACAACTTTGTTTACGTGTAGAGAAAAATATGAGCTCGACCACTTACTCCGAACACAAAATAAACTAATCTGTGTTTTCATGCTTTGTTTATTTAATATCAGCGTGAGTATTATCATAACATTAAGTAACATTTTTATTGAATAATAATAATAAAATAACTTAACGACTTACCTTAAACTCTACAGGTTGTGGTGGTTGACTTCTAATAATAGATTCGTCCATAAATTTACGTTTGACAAACGCCGGCATCATATCGTTACAACGAGATTTCATGTTGCTATGATTTTGACTGGTTCCATACATCGCAGATGGGGAATCATTATCACCATCCTTCCAAATAGCAAGTCGTTTTAGACGGGCTTCCAATTCAATAACATCACAATTGACCATATTAGGTGGACCATGAGATGGGACTTGATTTTGTTTTGATTTGGCTAGAGCCAATATCTCGTTGCGAATGAGAAGGAGGTTAGCTCGAGTATAGCGTATTCCTGTAGCATTCGCAGACGATTTAGTTCTGGAATGTTTTTTGCATAAGTTACTTGTTAATGGCAATGACGATTTCGATGGTATCAGTGGAATTTTCTTTACTTTATAGGCATCTCGAATTTCTCTAATGTTCTGTTTGGGAACGTTGCCCTCACTGTCCTTAACAGGACTTACATGTTCAGCAACATTCTCTAGGTCGCAGCTGGCAGCTGTGCATGACATCGGTTGAGTGTAGGGCGTGGACGAACGTGCTGACAAAACTTGTAAGGACAATACATCCTCCTCGTTGTGGTGATCGTGATGATGATGGTGAAGGGCACAAGTTTGTTGTTGCAGAGGTTTCTTTGCAAGTTCACTACAACACTCGATTTCGCCGTCATTTATCGTCATCGGTAATTTCTCTAGTTTATTCTTCGTGGAGATGCTCGTTGGCGGAGGCAATGGTATAGCAACAGATATTACGGATGGTCTAGTAATCATTTGTTTTTCCTTTAACTTCTGAACGCGAATATTACGTTCTGCCATTTTTATTATTTCATCTATATACGTCTTCTTTGGAAATTCCATCAGAACCATAGTTTTATTTTGTTTCACGTCCGAAACATTTTTCTGTATGAGTTCAAATAAAAAAAGATGTAATTTACTTTGAAAAAACAAAATTGTTTGTTTAAATGCTAGTAAGTTTTGAAAAATATTAACATATTTTCAATATATTGCACATTAATATATGCGTAAGAGATTCATATGTTCAGAAGAAACATTAACAAATGGATTACAAATGTTACATACCAACTCCATGCACTACAATTTTTACGGATATCCAAATATTTGTTGTATTTTTTAATAAATAGTTGTAAAAATACAAAAGAATTTAACAGGTATGGTTCGCTGTTCTGGTAAAATTTGTATACCCTCCACCATATTATGGAGGGTGTGGTGTATTACCGTTGTCATTCAGTTTGTAACTCCTCGAAATTCTCATGTCAGTTAATCAGCGTAAAATTCTGAGTCGATATAGCGATGTCCGTCTGTCTGTTGTAATCGTGTTTTCTTGCAGTAGCCAGGTTTAGTTCGTAAATTATGTCAACCCACGTTTTCGTATAGTCACAGTCATATTAGCTCGCAATTGTTTCAAATTTTGTATTTGAATTTAAAATGGTTGCTACCATGGCACAATTACAGAAGGTAGAACAAAGCTACCCCCCAAATACAATATATATATATATACATATATATATGTTTTCATGAACTCTTTCTTTCTTCCTGAACATGTTTAAAATATAAAATTTTTCTATTTGGCATTTTTTTATTTAATTCTAAGGGTGATTTGAATGGAACAAAGAACAAAAATGTTTGTTCGCTCGGCAATTTTTTTTTTTTTTTTGGGAACTATGTAGATATTTAATAATTAATGATAGCACTACGAATCACGTGTCATGTGAATGCCTACGAATGAATTCAGAAAGGTTTTTGGACATTTTTATACTAAGAATTAAGATTTTCACAATATTTTCCAATATTATTCAGAATTTCACTTTCCATCTTTATTTATAAGTGTTCATGTAATACTCATACTAAGTCAATCGGTTCAGTTTTACCGACTCTCAAGTCAGGGTTTCCTTTAACATTCAGTTCAAAAAACTCAAATAAGGGAGCCAACCCCTCCCACAAAAAACTTCGGAAGAAAAAGATTTATATTGAGAAACATTTAAAAAAAATTAGAGGGGCGGGCACAAAAGGACCTTTAACCCAAAAGGTTCGTTCATAAACCGCTTCGTTAGAATATTAACTGAATTGTAATATTTTAGTGCGTCATGTAGTTTTTCCATTAACGCATTAAAATGCATTTCTAATAGAATGTTTTTAAACTCGCAAATATTGCAAATTGAATTGTATAAAATGAACGAATTGAAATTGCTTAGGTAAAAAAATTGTTTTAAATGTTTTATACACGAACCTGCATTGGCTCAACATTATTTCCAATGGCTTTTAATTTAAATTTCGCCATTTTGAGATTAACTTCTAAGTTTACGTCGCTCACTTTACTTATGGCATATTGTACCGGTTCTTTTGGCAATGGAGGAGGTGGAGGAGGAATGCATGTAATATTCCCCTTAGACTGGTCATCATTCAGCGCCTGAATTACATCAATTCCATAGTCCAGTTGTTCATTTAACGCGTCAGCCTTTACTGGATGTTTTGCTTTCAGTTTACGTTGAACTGGTGTTGGTGGTGGTGGAGGTGGAGGCGTAAAAATTACTTCTTTAATCTCCAAATTTTTGGAAGCCAACTTCGAAGCTTCTCCTATAATATCCTTCTCGTTTTTTGCCAGATTTTTGAAGCATCTGATGGCGCCAGCGCCATTTTCCTCAATTTGCACACCTTGCTCAGCTTTTGATGTAGCGTCTTTTGTTTCACAAGAAGACATGCTCGTTGATTTCTTTCTGTCCACAAAACAAATTTACTGAAATGGATATTTTGCAAAGGGGCACGCATTTCTTACCAAAAAAAAAAATATAAATAAGGATCAGTAGATTATGATGATGTATTAGTTTAAGCACATAAATGAAACAAATTCAAAAACACGATTGAAAAGACGTTTAGGTTTGATATTATCTTTCAAATGGTAATAAATGTAAAATACGTAAAACTATTATTTATGTTTTTGACTACTCAGTAGTTAAACAAAATGGAATGATTGACCTTGATCGAATGCAAGCATAAAATAGATTCCGTTACTTAAAGAATTTGATTTGTTTTTGTTTGGAATAACTGCTGGAAAAATGGAATTGTAGGGATATAAAAGTCGGCCTTTGATCAATTTATTAACCCTTTAGTGTCTAACACAAAGCCATAGGCCGGATATTACATTCCGATAGATAAAAAAAGATCATAACTGAACATATAAAAATATACTTATTTTTGATAAAACATTAAAAAAATTTTGACATATCAATGTCAATGCGTAAACTTTACTGAATTCATGTTGCCATATTTTATATTGATAATATGGCAATAACAGTAAAATTATGGATTTATTTCTCGAAATAACAAATTCATTTTGTTTAATATTTTTAAACTAAAATGAAGATGTCATTGTGAAATAAATGCATTGACCAGAAATTTTTAATAATGATTTAAAAAAAAAAAAAATTGTATTTAGGGGGGTATTTTTGTTCTACCTTCTGTAATTATGCCATGGGAATAACTAAACTGGGCTATAAAGGAAAGATATAAAAACCGGCCATGGAAGTGTAAAAATTGACATCAAACTTAAAATACTTGCAGTCTTTTTTTTTTTTTGGATTTTGATTGATTGTTGGATGGGTACCCGTAGTACTTATGTACCAAGACTGGTTATTTTAGTTATTCGAGTATTACAAAATGAGTAATCATGTTGGTTCACTTTGTGAATATATTGATTGATGATTTGGGCTTAAGTTGAGTTTAGGGGCTATGCTCGGATTGACCTGACATTTTTACCGCAGGTAGGTATTTGTAACCTGATTACGGCAATGTTTTGTGGGGGAAATACCCGGTTACCCGGTTATTCGACCCAAAAGTTCGGATACAACATCCAGTTTTTATCCGGTTCTACGTAACCGATATCTATCTATATTCTCATTTGAAAGCTTGTGAAAATACCTATCCAATAAGTGGCCAGTGATGGGGTTACTGGAACCGGTTTCGGAGAAATTCAGGAAAATTAATATTTTTGTATGAGTACTTTTGAAAAACCCATAAAAACTCGAAAATGGACCCATTATAGGGTTTTAAAATCTATACACTATATTATATGCCTTTCCAAAATGGTGTCATATGTGTTGATATCTTTTATAGTTCCGAAGATATTGATATTATTATTTATGAAAGCAGTTTGAGTGAAGCCAAGCTTTGTGTCGGGTTTAACGTTCTTGTTATTCTGCTTTGTTTTTAATTCGGTGTTGACTAAAAACTATTTTTAATTTAACGGCATTTTTTGCATTCCTTTTTGAAAAATTGAATAGAAAGGGAATCAAGATATAGAGAATTTCTACGAATGTGGGTGGAAAAATTAGTTAGTTTTTAATTAAATTGTTCTTTACAATGGGGCCGTCGACCAGGGAGATGTAATCTGAAACGTTCCCTACGAAAAGCGACGTTTTTTGATAACTTTCATCTCTCCATTTGCCAAATTATTGTTTTCTGTTTTATGTGGATTAAAAGGGGAGGTCCTCTTAATGACATATTACGAGAGACAAGAATTTATAAGCGTACTGGGGTAGACTGGAACAACTTCTGTAGAGAAGTTGTGGTCTTCAGTTCAGTTCATTTGCAAATAGGCGGCCCTGGATTGACGAAACCAAAATTGGAAGGAGGAAGTTTCACCGTGGCCATGTTGTTCAGGGGCAATGGGTTTTCGGCAGTGTTAAACGGAAAACAAATAAATGTTTTATTGTTCCCGTTGAAGACCGCTCGAAACAAACATTGCTCCCCTCATTAAAAAGTATATACGACCAGGTTCAGTTATTATTTCCGATTTTTGGAAGGTAAGATTATATAATATGTTGACATATATTATCTTATAATAAATATATAACCTTGGATGAGGAGTACCCCTCCTCCCATCCATCAAAAAGTCAACCACTTGGAGCATTTTGTGGATCCCGAGACGGGGCACCATACAAACACTATAGAGGATTTGTGGCGCCACCTCAAGGTATCACTTTCTGCATATAACCGTAGAAAAATATTTTTCAACGGTAATATACAGAAACTTATATTCTTGAGCAAAGACCTAAAATGGTAAAGACTGGACAAAATGCATTTTAAGCAAATGGTTTGTGTCTACAATACATATCGTAACAACAGAGGTATTTTCCCAGGGTTACCATATCTTGACCTTGTCTTATCCTATCTTTGCACTTCTATGTCTTTGCACACACGTACGGAGGGAACATATAGATCGGGTATGACTCTAGTGCCACACATAAAAATGTACTGAGGAACACCATCGCATATGATTCCTACTTTTATGGTTTCAGTTTCTTCGATTAAATCATTTTCGTTTTTTCTGGTGAATCGGTAGACCGATATCACATCTATGTCATTATTCTCAATAGAATTTTTAATGGTTATACTATCAATTGACTTAGGAACATGTTTGATTACGCAAAAATTTTGGATAAATCTCTCAGGAATTTCGACTTTCAGGCCAACTTCTTGCAGTCTTTTGTTTTGTGCAAATAAATTTGCCAAATTGCAGCTGTTGAAGGTAAGGCGGAAAGTATTGTAGCCAACGTTTTTGCAAACATATGTAGTTGGCATATTGATTTTTTGCAATAGGACATATAAATAAAATATAAATTTAGTTCAGTTTTTCCTCCTGTAACTTATAGGAGATTCTGACGTGACCATAACGTAAAAAGGCCCTGGGTGGTGTTGTGGGTAAAAAGTGCTTGTCTTCATGGCATTATAGTTTGATTCAAGCTTTTGGGAAGATTCCAACTCATTGGATGAAGCCTGAGACATATTTGTATTAATAGTTTCATGTTTTTGCAACGCAAAGCGAAACGCATGGCAGAAGAATACAGGTAGATGCATCAACGCTTGGGAGCATTGATATGTCAAAAATATTTATATGTTTTTTCAAATATAAGTAGATTTTTATATGTTTTCCTGTACTACGTCGATCGGAGGCTATTATAATTCGCATTTTTTCAAAAAATTTTACAAATTTAAATAATTGTTCATTCAACATTTTCAATTCCAAAATTGGTTTGACAGTTCATTGTCTCAGCAGCTGTGTCGACGCGTCTACCTATATTCTTCTACCATGGCGAAACGAAAGCAAAAGCGCAGTCTAGCATTAACAGTTGTTGAGTAGCGACTGAATACTTGCACTCATGGTACAATGAAAAGCATGGTAGAAGAATATGAGATAATGAACTGTCAAACCAATTTAGGAATTAAACATTTTTAATCAAAAATTTTTGTAAATCTCGTTGAAAACTCTATTTTAATAAACTCCGATTGACGTCGAATAAGAAACCATTTAAAAATGTACTTGTATTTGAAAATACATTGTTGCGTGCGTACCGCGATTGCTAAAGATTAATTTTCTGTATTATCGGCTGAGCGAGGATTTACATTTGTAATTACCGCTCCAGCCGATCTTGAAAAAATGAATGAACCGGATACGGTTGGGTGTCAAGGTGCTGCCAATGTTCCTCTTAGTACATGGTACTAAGATCATATGCAACCATGGGTAACGATAGGGCTCGCCAAGTGCGATCAAAGAGGAAGAGAATAAACAAGGGAGAACAAAAAACAAAAAGGAAAAGTGGGAAGATTGCGTCCAATGGCTGCCGTATAAAAGGGGTAACGGACAGAAAAATTCGCCATTGAAGTTTTGGTAAACGGGCAAGGAAAAATTTTTCTAAGCTAAAATTTAAAAAAAAAGTGATCCCATAAAAACGCCAAGATAGTGGAATTAAAGTTTTCGTAAAATTTTTTATTTTTATTTGCCGATTGTTATGTATGTGTGTGTGTGACCAAAATTTTGTAAGTTTCTGTTGTTCTAATAGTGTATGTCTTTTTGGTGTTTCGATGCTGTGTTTTTTCTTTTAAGATAACACCCCAACAAAAGACGGCTAGATATCTGACCCCTCCAAGTTTTCGGTGGAGGAGGTCAGCAAATTTTTATATAAAGAAAGCGCCGCTGCCCAGTCCGTGGTTGAGGCTAAGCCCTGGTACGCCAAAGTTCTGAGAATCAAAGAGTGGTCGGCTCGGTAGGCCTGACGTCAAAAGAGTCAGCATCCTCATCTGGAAACAAAAAGAATACTTGAGTATTTGAGCACCAGGTAACAATTCAATTATTTTATACCTACCGAGTCCTAACCGGTTGTTGCGGCCAAGTGGCGTACGTAAATAATCCTCCTGCGGCCTGAAAAAAAAGAAGAGAATTTTGATTAATAATTAATTTGAATGAAAAATGGAATGACACCAAAATTTTGTACTGACTAGTTTAATTTAATGTAATTATCTGTAGTTTAAGTGTGATTGTCCGTAATGTATAGAATTTAGGTTAAGATTTTAATATTGTGAAAATTTCTAACGCCCGGTTATATACCTGAGCGTAGGGTTAGACCGTCATACGAAGGGAGAGTTCCAGTTTATTGGTAATTTTGGACATAAGGTAACGTCCATAATACCCCCTTAACAGAGCTCTATTAGGTAGGGAGTAGATGCAAAAAGTGGCCAGATTGGCAAAAATTTTTATGTACTCTTCGTAGACTGTAGTAGCCCGAGCGATTGGCTCACATAAAGACAGATTCAGGTGTTAGGAATTTTAAATTCAACGTTGTGCAAATATTTATTTGTTAGGATTAAGTCAACTCTCGATATGTCAATAAATTATTTATATGTGTAAGTGTTAATAGTCGATATGATGTGCTAATTTGCAAACTCTTGGGGGAATAGGATGTAAGTTGTGTGGTAAGTGTTAGTGGAATGCGGGGCCCTTAAATATTTAAATTTACTGGACAAAAGGGTCAAGGTTGGGTGGGCTAAGTGTGGGTGCAACTTCCGCCAAGCACCCTTGTCACCGGTGTATGTAGTGTTTGTATTTTTGTTTGTTTTGATGTTGTAATATGTCCCCTTTTTTTTAATTGTTAGGTCCCTTGGACTGTTGGTGTCAGGGTTGGAACCGACCCTGAGCAAAAAGCTCCCCTGAGCCGCTGGATACACACCACAGTACCGCATAAGGTGGTAACCATAACAACATTTTAAAATTTTGACATACCAATGTTCCCAAGCTTTGATGCATTTACCTGCATTCTTTTACAATGAATGAAAATGTAAGTTACAGTTGCCAGCGCTGGTTACAATCTTTTTCTAAGTGTGTCCGACTTCCGCCAAAAAAACGCCCGCAAGTTATTTGTATTAAAAATTTCTATATAATCTGGACGATAGATTTGGAGTAGATTTCGACGCCCTGGTACATACAATAATTATCGAGGGGGAAGACTGACATGGAACCCCGAGCAAAAAGCTCCCCTGAGCAGCTGGATACACACCACAGTACCGCATAAGGTGGTGTGTATCCAGCTGCTCAGGGGAGCTTTTTGCTCAGGGTTGCAACCGACCCTGAGCAAAAAGCTCCCCTGAGCAGCTGGATACACACCACAGTACCGCATAAGGTGGTAACCATAACAACATTTTAAAATTTTGACATACCAATGTTCCCAAGCTTTGATGCATTTACCTGCATTCTTTTACAATGAATGAAAATGTAAGTTACAGTTGCCAGCGCTGGTTACAATCTTTTTCTAAGTGTGTCCGACTTCCGCCAAAAAAACGCCCGCAAGTTATTTGTATTAAAAATTTCTATATAATCTGGACGATAGATTTGGAGTAGATTTCGACGCCCTGGTACATACAATAATTATCGAGGGGGGAGACTGACATGGAACATCGCAATATTTCTGTCAAACGTGGATGGAGTTGAAAGGTAGTCGGTATTGCCTATTTCTTCTGCAATCACAAAAGTTAACCTTTTGCTAAATAAAAACATGCATCGTTAAAACCTCTCACAATTTAATATTTAGTCAGGCTTAGGTCAAGTGCGACAATGGACAATAACGCTCACTCATTGGTGTATCTACATTCTAATTAATAACTCCCGGAAAGTGTGAAATCAATGGACGATGTTCCTAAAACTCCGCACATCCAATATTTGCATATGCAGATTAATCGGCAGTATCGAAAGTGGTGTAACAATTCTATCTGAAATCATCAAAATACTGATTACAGTGAGAAACCGTTATAATAGGTATATAACATAATATGGACCTATAAAGGCAGCTCTTTGCAAGAATGTGTTTCCCCAATTTCAACACAAACGGCCAATTAACATTAAATTCCGTTTAAAAATATAAAAATGAAAATATGTTACCAGACAGTACCGTATTGGGATGCTAGAGTGATATCGGCAGACATAGGGACGGACGGACGGATTTTGTGGGATCTAGGACGTTCAATTCTAAGAGTTACAAACGGAACAATAAACGTAATAATAAACTCTGATGTTATAGAGTATTAAAAAACAGGACCGTTCTGCACAAAAATATGTTGGGTTTTCACACTCTACAGTCAACACAACAGCAGTGGCATCAGGCAACAAGTCCTCAAGTTCCCGCCGGTTGGCGTCAGCAGTGCCATTACTTATCTTTTCCCAACGTTAATGCGTAGAAGAAGCCTTTGACCGATGTTAATTTAGGCACTATTATCGCTACCAAACAGCATCTCACCAAATTCCTTTTCTCCAACATAAGTTACAGTTTCTCCCAAAAACTGCAAATCAGCCTCCGAAATTCAGAAAAACTTTTTTAAAAAAAAACAACATTTAAAATTTAATTGACATTAAAACTTGAAAAGAAAAAATATTTTATTTGATTTGACAAGTTTATTCACAAACAATAATCAAAAAAGTTTAAAATACTGCCCATAATACTAAAGCATCCAAGGCCAATGACTAGTATTAATAATGTAATTATGCTCCTAAGTAAAAATAATAACTTAAGAATAATTATAACAAAGTCAATATATTTGGCTCCCCAGCCATAACTACAAAAATTAAAAATATAATTAACAATAAATAGCGAGCGTGTTAGCCTTAAATAAGAGCTCATACATATAAAAAAGTACTAAAAAATTAATTATGGAGGTGGCTCATAAGTTTTAAGCGGAAAACATTATCAGCCGGTGGAAATAGTCTCAGACTCGTATTACAAAAGATCTCTTAAAAGTAAAATTGTATATTCTAGGCGTGACCCAATTATAAAGTCGACAAGTAAGACCAGCTGATACCCATATTTTCTGTCAATATGATTTAAATTCGCCTGGCAACTGCAATAGATTTCAATACTTGTTCATTTCTGTCAAAAATATTAATAAACCAGTAAAAAAAGTCTGAAAGTCGGGCGGGGCCGCCTTTATGATACCCTACACCACTTTGCTAATTTAGTAGACCTCCGCATAACAATTAAAAGTTTTTATGGGAGAATTCAATCATACATGCTATGACTATAATTATAATTTAAAGTTCAAAGGACTAAATATGCCGAAGCATTTGTATCTTTTAAATTCGGATGTGTATTGCCCATTTAGGGCACAATTAATTTGAAATCGGATAAAAATATATATGGGAGCTATATCCAAATCGAAACTGATCTCAATAAAATTTGGCTGAGATATTTCTGAGCTGTATTTTATATATTTCCCTGAATATCGTTGTTACGGAGTGCATATTACGCCTGTGGGTAACAAATATAACAAATCGGATGAACAGTATATATGGGAGCTATAGCTATATCTGAACCGATCTTTACCAAATTTGATATACTAGCTTCTATACTCAGTTCGGTCGTAAGTGCCAAATTTCATCCCATTTGGGCAAATATTAGACGTTTGGTGCACAATCAAAGGTAAATCGGACGAAGTTATATATGGAAGCTATATCCAAATCTGAACCGATCTCGATAAAATTTAGCAAATGTTTTCCTGAGCTGTATTTGATATATTTCCCCAAATATTGTTGTTACAGAGTGCATATTACGGCTGCGGAGGACAAAAATAACAAATCGGATGAACAATATATATGGGAGCTATAGCTATATCTGAACCGATTTCGAACAAATTTGGCACACTTATTTGCAGGCCCAATCTGATCGTACGTGCAAAATTCCATACTATTCGGACTGATATTACATGTTTGGTGCACAATAAAAGGCAAATCGGACGAAGATATATATGGGAGCTATATCTAAATTTTGACCGATTATCTCCAATTTCAATAGGTCCTTGGGCCAAACAAATGATTTGTGCAAAATTTCATCTCAATCGGATAATAAATGCGGACTGTACTTTGTTTACAAAAATACATGGACAGACGGATGGGCGGACATGCATAAATCGACTCAGAATGTGATTCTATGCAGATCATCAAAAGGAACTATGGGTCTATCTCGTTTCCTTTTGCCTGTTACAAACAAATGCACAAAGACATAATACCCTGACCACCTTGTGGTGTAGGGTATAAAAATAAACTAAAGTAAATATGCATGGCGAAACAATAAAGGTAAACTCATTAGCTAAATTTAATATGACAACCCTTTTCCATATCTTAAGAATACTAAGTTTATTTGTCTGTTCTTGGACTTAAGCATATAAAAATAATAAAGATTTTAGATCCTTTATCTTAAGGAAACGTTTTCGGTGATGTTAGTTCTTGTGTAGGCCTCGAATGACGTTTTATTTTAGGTCCGCCTTTAGGGATCAAACCTCAGTACTAAAACAAAAACTTACGCTAACAATTTCTTGTAACAAATTTAATTCCAATTTAACTGATAATAAGAAATGACAATCTTCTGTCAGTATTTTGGAAAACAAAGCGTGATATTGTCTTAATACTTGTCCTAAACTAACCCAAATTCAACTATTCCATAATTAAGATGTACATGACTTATCAGACTAATATTTTAGTTTCCTGTTTTAAATTATATTCTTCTTTGACTTTTATACCCTCTAAAAGGCGTGAAAATGAAAATTATTTGTTCGAAAATAAATGTAAATTTCTTACACATTTGATCATGGTAGAATGAAGAATCATGTCAAAATTTATGCATACACAAATCTGAGATGGGAACCAGTTTTCTTTGACAAGGTAAATTACAGAAAATGCAGATATGGATATGCTTATTTGAAATGACTTTACCTTCTCAATTTTACCATAGACATTACAAGACTACAAAAAATATATCAAGTGATTTCTATGATTTCTTCATTGCACCCATGACAGAATTAAGATGGTAAATTTATGCAATCATAAGCTAATAATTTTTTTTTTCAAAATTACTGATTTGACCACATCTCATTGTCAAAATTTATATTTAAAAACCCCATTGTATATACACACATCAGAGATGGAGATGAAATTACCGAAAATGCAGATATGGTAATGCTTACTTGAAATTACTTTACCTTTTCAATGTTAATATGGTTTTGTATAAGAAAACTCATAAAAATATACTTACAGTACGTTTATATATAAATGGGTTAACCGACTGGATTTGGATTAAAATTGTCATATCCATTATTTATACTTCAAATAAATCCTCTCAAAGTAGGTTAACCTTACAAAAAGTTCTAACGTAAACATAGCATTATTTTGGAAAACATTTTAAAATTTTGACGTTTCAATGTGCCCAAGCGTTGATGCATCATCAACCTGTATTCTTCTTCCATGTTTCTAATAATTCTACCATGATTAATATTTATTCCATAACTTTTTACGGAATACGAATGCAATATTTTTTGTAAAATAAAAAAAATCCGTATCCTACCATCCATATTGTTCTCATTTGCCAAATCGGTAGTGGCAAGAAGTTCTGAAATAACATAAGGACTTTTTACAATAAAAAGTTACTTATTTAAAGTTATAATAAAATAATGGTAAAATTAAGAAGGTAAAGTCATTTCAAATAAGCATACCCATCTCAACATTTTCAGTAATTTAATTTGTCAAATTTCAATGCACAGAAAATAGGTTTCCATCTCTGATTTGAGTATTTACAATGGATTTATAAATATATATTTTGACAATGAGATGTTGTCAAATGAATAATTTTGAAAAATTGTAAACCATGAATAAAATGTTGAATGAATTTTAATGCATACTTTATTTCGTGAAATTTTTTACATTTTCATACCGGCCACAAGCCCGACACTGAGAAAATTTTAACATTACTTTCCTTACTCTTCCTCATCTGCTGGACTTTTGGGTTACCGATTTTTGCAACCTGTGGTGGTATTCTCTAAATTTAATCTCATTACCGACAAAATCGTTCACTAAAACTCCAAAAAAAGTGACAAGTAAAAAAACATTTGCTCTGTTCTAGAAGTTGAGAGAATCTACTATTTTTGATTTTTTTCGGTATCATGAAGTGAAAATCACTTATCGTAGCAAA